TGCAAGTTTAATAGTATTGTATTGCAGAGTATATTTGAAGACAGTGCTGCTATAGACATTAAAGGCAGAAAATAAATATAGAGCATGGTTTTTGTTTTTGTTTTTTTGCTTCCACGTTTTATTCTACTGCTGTTTCTTTCTTCAAAAGCATTGCCTCCCTTGCAGCAGGATTGTCACTAGATTAAAATCTTCAAATGCAATTCTGGATAAATAAAAGCTATTATTTTCCCTTACCATTCTTCTTTTAGAAAAGCTGTGGCTTGGGTTCTTAAATGGCTTTGGAAGTCTCATCCACTTACTTTAGAGTACTCAGTAGATGATGGCCTAGTAAATAAAAAATATATTTACAACTGTCAGCCTTCTTTTTTAAATATTCAAAGTACACAGAAGACTTCTTAATCATTTCTTAGCCTTTGGGCTAAGATCAAGCGGGTGGGTAGTATCTTAGCTGTGGCATGGAGGCTGACAATCCATAAACGCAGTTTACCTACAAATCTTCATCCTCTGGCATAAAACAGACACAAAAAAGGAGCAGCATTCGGGAAAGGTCTAGTAAGAAAAGTCTTCTGAACATTATTTCTAGATGCCAATTAGCTGTTCAAAAGGATCTAGTTGAAGTCCTCTGCATCACTCTGCAATACAGATTTGACTTGTCACAAATATATATATAATATAATTCTGATATCATACGGATTCCCAGTAAAATCAGTGGTAAACAGACAAGTTGCTAGAGAGTTTTGAGCTAAGAATTTCTGCTGGAGTCACTTGGATAATTTCAAGGAGCATTAGGGAGACCTCAAGTTAGAAATTGATAGTCATAGACTATGGTTAATACATCTAGTTTGAGACAGGAACATTGATTATCTTCTTAAACATACATGCAACTTCTTTTAAATTTTGAAATATTAGGAAAAGGTACATCTCCTTCAATTCATGCTCAAATTCTGGTAACTAAATACACAACTCTATGCAGTTTTCTTTGTAACAAAATGGAGAGCAGACTTGCTATAGCCTTCATCTAGGATTCTGGTTTTATTTTGACTTCCTAGTGTACAGGTAGTCCTCACTTACTGACCTTATCACTCTTATCTCTAAGCAACACAGTCGTAAAATTAAATGTCACATGACTGCACCTGATCTAGGGTGTCAGTTCATCAGTTCCAGCTGTGGTTGTTAAGCAAATCACTGTGGGTTGTTAAGTGCAACTTCATGTGACTGTGACTTGCGACTTCCTGCTGGCTTCCTCATTGACTTTGCTTGTTGGAAGCCAGCTGTGAAGTTGCAAATGGTGATCCTGTGATTGTGGGATGATACAACCATCATAAATGTGTGCCATATGCCAAGCGCCTGAATCGTGATCACGTGACACTCTAGTGGCTGCAACTTTGAGGACCGGCTGTAAGTTTCCTTTTTCAGCACCATCATTATTTCAAACGGTCGCTGAACAAGTGGTCAGTAAGCAAGAACTACCTGTAATCTACAACCCTGTGATTTTCTAGTGGTCTCCCAATCAAGAACTCACCCAGTTTGAGTCTGCTTAGTTTTTGAGATCAGCCAAGGATGCCTATATCCTTCCATCTGCTGCAACATAAACAGCAGCCCACTCTGAGACCAGTGGCACACTGGGTCTGCGCACAGGGCAAATCTGCATAGGTGTGCTCCAATCCAAAGCCACCATTGTTACTGCCTCATTCCAGGCCATGATAAATGCCTCAGTTAAACCGTGTATCAAAACCTCAAGAAAAAACCCAAGCCCCCTTTGAAACCCAATGGGATCCATTAGGCACCTGGGTTAACCAGTCTAATAGGCTTTGCCTCTGCCTCTGCCTCTGCCTCCCTGGGGAAAGGGGGTGCTATGGTAAACTCCAGGGTCATCTGGCAGTGGTCTGTCCATGACAAAGGACAGATTGTAATATCCCCCAACTTCAGTTCACATAGCCATTGCCCCAAGACAAAAGCCAGATCAAGTACTGTCACCCCACCCCTACCACCCCATTTGTTTGGCCTATAATAAGCTGGGTCAGGTCCATGGTTATCATGGTGGCCACATACTCCTGTGCTTTGACTTCATCCCCAAGGATGGCAGATTGAAGTCCCCCAGAACCTTAAGTCTGGGGAACTCCACTGCCAGCCTGGAGATGGCATTGAACACAGGCAGAGAGGTTGCTCTGTAACAAGGAGACTTGTACAGTACAGAACTCCCAACTGATCTTTAAGGCCCAATCTCACAAGTAGGGTTCATACCTGCCTATCTGCCAGACGGCCCACCTGACAACTTTCTGAGTCTCCCAACAGAAAATAGGAACCCTGACCACAAAGTCATCTGGTGCCAAACTGGAAACTCTGGGCACATCTGAGAGAGGGGCACTTCCCATTCTTTGCCCAGCCAGGTCTCTTTGATGCACAACAAGTTGTTCCTCTCATTCAGGATCAAATCCTGGATGGGATAAGTTTTATTAGAGGCCAAGCTGATGTTCAGTAGCACCAGCTGGAGTCCAGAACCAGCTAAGGTTCAAATACTGGTAATCAGGGATATAAGCAGAGGGTTGGAATGCAGTTCAATACAGCGCTCCTGTGCTCCCTCTTGTGATCTGCCTCTGCCTCCTGGCGTATCTTGCTTTGCCTGTCACTACTGCAATGTTCTCTCCTGTTTCTAACCTCCCTTTCACTTCCTGCCCCTTTCTGTCAGCCATCAAGGATCCTACTCATAGTCCAGCTATAAATGCTCTCCACTCAGCTGGTAGGTTAGCACTAGGGTGCTTTTGACCATGCACTCAGGAGCTTCTGAACCAACCCCCTGCTCACTCATCCTCAAATTCCAACCACCCCTCTTCCCCCTTTGCTCTCACCAGAGGTAAAGGGCACAAACACATAAACTCACCAAGCTAGAACAAGTCCCTGCTACCCTGACTCCCACCTAGGGGATGGCTCAAGCCCCAACCCTTCCTCAACCATCCTACTCCAAAATCAGCCTTCACCAAAATCATAATCCTCCTCCCAACCATCAGTTCCAACCCCAATTTAGGAGGCAGAGTGGCAGTCTCCAAAGGGCTGCAGAATCTCTGCAACCCTGTACATCTGGCCACTTTGGCCACACTGGTAGCATCAGATCTCTTCAGGGCATGAAGCAGATAAAATGACTGTCTTCCTCTTCTGGACACAGCATTGCCAATGAGACAAGATGGCTCCTGTCCTCTAGGCACATCACCACAGCTGCAGGATACTGGCTGGACTTTGCCAAAGGCTATCAGCCAGCTCCCGATTCTGCGGCAGACCTGTCCTCAGCCCTCTATAAGCTTGAAGACTAGCCAAGACCAGCAAGCTTGCTCACTTGATGTACGTGGAAGCACATCACATCAAACTGGGCAGTGAGATCAACGCAGGGAACAGAATCTTCTTCGGTGGCATTATGAAAGGTGCACCACCAAGCAGCTGTGTGGAGACCTTCAGCAGTGGCTAGCTGGCAGCTCTAAACAGTGCTGCTTCCTCCTCCACACCACCAGTCCCAGCACTTCTGCCACTGTTCTTAGCCATTCTGATCTCTGCTATTCACTCCTCTCTCAAAGCAGGCTAAGAGGAGTTGTTGCTGTGGAGCCACCACAGCAAGTAGTATAGGTGCTTGGTCATGGTGTGCGCCCTCAGCTGAGTGGTAGCTGTATCTGTGGCTCCAACTGCAGTGTTACTTCACCACCAACACAGTCCATCCCATCTCCATCACAACTGCCTCTCAAGCCCAATGACCAGAACCAGATCTGAAGACAGTCTTGACTGTCCAAAGCTGCCAGGAAACCAACCCAAGATCCCAGCGGTCCAGCTCCATCAGGAACCTGAAGCTGCCAGCACCAAAGGTGCAACCATTGAAGTCAACCTATCATGATCAGGGGGACCTTCCAGAAAAGTCCAAACTACCTCCAAGCCTAATTTTAACCCCCACCACATTGTAAAA